GAAAATTAAAACTTTTCAACCTGGTGGTTTTAACATAATTAATCGTTTCAGAAAAAACTCAGAAAACTATTTTCCACTGCATTTTGCAATGCTCAATAAAGTTTACCCATTCTATATTATGGCAAGCATTATATAGCTTACAAATCAGTGCAAAAAAAGCGAAACAAATTGCGACCAAATAAATTTGCATCAAACATCACATTAAAGGCATAAAAAACTAATGGACTTGAATAATTAAGAGCTGACCTGCATTTGTCTGCTAATCAAAGCTCGTTGCAAATGGTTCTGTATGCAAAAGTTTGACAACCATGCCAGGCACACTTCATTTGGTCATTTGTGACATTGCTGGTTGTCAAATAACAAAATAACGATAAAATTAATGGCGATACATTAACACACGCACCTAACTGACATTATACAGGTTAGATTTCAAATTAAATTATTTTTTAAGTTGCAGTTTTTACAATACAGATTTAATTTACATATTCTTACACATTTCATTAAAAGTTAAGAAGGTTGTAAATTGTCAGCTTCTCTTATTTGATCAAGATATTCCCAATCAAATAGCATTTAAATTGTGTAAATGTCTCGATAAAATCACGTTTAAAGCTGACTGCAATTTTTCGTTGCTATAAACGGAGAATATTTCAGTGAAATATTGGTTTACCGCTGATAAACAGACATCCAGATGAAGAGATTAACATTACTTGTATGTACATTTATTTTTCAATATGAAAATCCATCAGTTAAATACATTTTAATAATGCCCTTTTTGAAGGGCTTTACATAAATTTACATCAACTATTTATGAATGTGTTTGCAAGTCCATAAATGTAAGCCCACAAGGTGGTGACTCTGACAGTTTGGGCCAGGTCAAAAGAGACGACAGTGGCAGTGGCAGTGGCAGTGGCAGTCTGTCATTCCGACTGCTGACAGTTCCTTTTGCCGGCACATAGTTCACAGCTCACGGCATGTGACGCATTTGCCACTGCGCTTCATTATGCAGATCTTCCGCTCCTATCTCCCTGAATCCGGGAATCCCGGAATCCCAGACTTGCCATACACCTCCAATCCTTCCTTCCTGCGCGGTGCCACATGCCAGGCATTCTACTTCCCGTCCTTCACAACCAGGGATGCGAATTTTTTAGATATTGTGTTTGGGGACATGCCTACAAGTACTTAAATATGTTACATTTGGATACCATTGGACCAATTCTTAAAAAGTTTTGCCATAAATTAAATACTTAAAATACAAAGCTTAACTTGGGATAAACACCTTTAATTTTTAATTGAGGGTAGAAACATTTTATGAGTGGTTCTTAAGAATCCCTAAATGAATAATAATTTTTGCCTTATTTTCTAGCTTTCTAAAATGACATTTTTGAAGAAAGCATGAATTATACACCTATTTTTATTTTGAAAGTACTTTTGAAATTTATATTCTTAATCCTCTTCAGTGAAAAAGTGGTGATTGAAACTTTTAAATTGGAAACAATGAAGTACCTATCACACCACTGTTCACCAGCTAGCCCCACTCATTGATCCTGTTCTCTGGCATTGTTGTGGGTGGCAACATCTGCGGTTGAGCTGCTGCAGTGCCGCATTATAAAATAATACATGGGCGTGTGTGCCATGGCCCCGTTGACCTCATCGCATGGCTGTGTCAAAATTGTTCGACAAGCTCGTGTACTTGAACTGTCAACCTGTGTGGGTGGAAGTGGGGGTGGGTCTAGGGGGTCCCGAAATGTTGTTGTTCTCGTGCTTACGTGCTCTTGTTGTTCTCGTTTTCCACGGGGCAGGATTAACTATCGAGCGGTTTTGCGCACTTTTGCATATTTATAATTGCGAGTCACGTTTAGGGGCCAAGTTTGTATCGGTTGAACCGGCTCTTCGAACTTGAATCGATTTTTGGCTATTTAACATACTTTAAAAGTCTAAAGCTGCAGGTGGGCGGAAAAAGTTAGATAAACATGGAACTTTAAAATATGTCACAAAAAATATACATACTTAAACCTTTACTTTCAACAAATAAATAAAATAAAGCAACTATTTCTTTAATATATAAAAACGCAACATAAAAATAAAACCACTGCCATCTTCAAGCTTGTTTGACTTTAACTTAGAATGACGTATTTCTAAAATATATTTATAAAACATAAAGCCTTCAGGTTCTTAAGCAGTATTCTATTTTAAATGCATTACCTTCTTACATAAAAAATTGCTGCTGGGTGCTTTCCGAAAACAAAATCTATTTCCAAAGTTTCGTAGCTATCTAAAGCAAAACAAACAAATAGTTCGATGTATTTGGCAGTAGAGCCAATTAACCAGAAATTAATGGATAAACAAAGTATAGGCCACCGCTCATCGGAATTGAGAAACGAAATAAATTAATTGCAGTCGCCAGCGGCATCGCCGCAGGTGGGCGGTGCCATCGGTGGTTTGGGTGGCGTTTGGGTGGTGCTTGGGTGGTGCTTGGTAGCTGGCAGGGGGTGTAGGCACAACAGGCGCCATGCTGCATTTTCGGTCGACGAGCCAAAACAACAGATGGAAATAGAACTTTAATTAAAAGCCGAGAGAGCCAGCGGCAACCGCCGAAACAGCGCTGCGAGGGGAAATAATATAAGTCAACATTCTAATAAGGAAAATAGTTGCTCTCACACATACAGGCGCCCACTAATACTCAAACACTGAAAAAATAAGAAAAAAAAATTAATATAATTACATGTTTGTCATGAACATAAAACATGCTTAATTATGGCAACAATTTTGTTTAAGCTTCAAATTAAAGTCAATTACCCATTTAACTAATTTGTAATGATTTAGAGAAATTCTTGAACAACTATTTGTGGGTATGCAGTCGGTTTACTTGACTATTTCTGACAGTGCCTTTGCAGACATATGCACGAACAGGGCAAACAGCGGGTGCTCTCTGCTATTTAAAGCCTATTTTCAGTTGGCCCTATTTCTGGGGGATGGCTCTGAGAGGCCGTATTTCGCGCTTTAAGCCGGTCATGGGAACAGCATTCAGATGCGATGATACAAACTGTATGTCAGTCGACGACTAAGCACGCTCCAGATGACTCGAAGGCGATGCCACGTCTGTTGTAGCAGTTCGCTCGCCTCGGCAACTTGGCTGCATCTGCATTAAAGCCGCCTGCCTTTACAGCCCGGCTAAAACTAATCGCTGAGAGCTGTGAAACGGGCTGGTTGGCAAACACAAAACCGACGACAGGTGAAAGGATGCCACGAGTGGCTGCCACTCTAGAGTTTTACCCAATAGGGCTTTAAGATCTGGCCCTGCATTCATCGAATTCGAGATACTTCAGTTTCAGGGCCTCGGCACATTCAATTTAATTAGACTAGTAAGACTTCCTCGTTTTCTCATTCTATTAGGGAAAATAATTAATGAATTCATCTGTCCTAAGTGCAGTCCCATTATACTTGACGTCGGCATGGATAACTACGATGATATGGGGATGGGGATGATGATGACGTCGCTGAGTCTGTTGACTCTTGACGCTGATGAGTCGCAAGAACAACAAAAAGTTTGCTGGCGGTTGGGAAATATGGCGAGGCACATATGCCAAACCAACGGGAGTACCATGATTACATAGCTGATGAAATATGCATTATCTGCCGGTTTTGGGACAAAAGTTTTTGGTGAAAATAAAAGTTGAAACCAACTGAAATCCCCCAGCAACTCTATATTTGTCCTACTAGATGAGCAAACGTTTTAAGGAAATTCAGTCAAGGCTGAAATCAGGCCTTAGTCAATTTTTTTGGGTATATAAAAAAATATATGTTTGTATCAGCATAGGTTTTTGGTATTTATTTTAAATTTATAAAATGCTTTAAAAATTTATTTAAAGTTATTTTAGATCCTTTATATTCGTTCTGTTGTGTTCGCATACAATATATCAATATTTTTGTTTGCAATACCGGAATCTTTTGAGGTCTAAAAATTTCTAAAGAAAAATATTATTTTCCAAAGCTATTCATAATCTTTAGTCATTTCGGACTTAGCTTAAGTGATTTTATAATTTTCTTTTCTTTTCCGCGTGTATATATGTTATTTGGCCCAGCGTCATAAATCTAAATGAAAACGTTTAGGAAGCGAAAAAATCCAACGCCTACGGCGAGATTATCACCCTGGCCGAAGATATATAGCATTGCGGGGATATAGATATGCGGCGAGGCCTAAAATTAAAATAACCTTGCCAATTTTCACTCAGTATGCGGTTAGTTTTACGCTTAAAGGGAACACGAGAACGCTGAAATTTGCGGCATCGGCATCGGGAAGGGCAGCGGCAACCGTGTCCATCAAAGTGTGCAAGTCACCTCCACATATGGCCCCGGAATTCCGGCACATACCCCTCCAATCAATTGCACATTGTGCACGTAGCCACAGCAGAAACTATGTGCGTGTTTTGGTTGAATTTCGGCAGGAGGAAAGGGAAAGGTTGGAGCTGCCGGGCTCAGGGGCGTGCGAAATCGAAACCATTGAAACCGAAAGCACTGAATGAAAACTTTTGTGGCCCAGCCTTGGGATCGAATTGAATTTTTGGTGGCATGCCACCAGGCCGCAAACTTTTGCGACCCGTGCGGCCATACAACTGACCCACAATCAACCCACTGGGAATGTTGGACGGAAGAGGACCGAAAAATATTCAGCGAATGTCTGCCAAAGATTTTTCATAGCTGGGCATAGGGTACAAAAAATATGGGAAAAAAACTGTAATAAATTTGAACGTTAAAGCTACTGGGCACAGTTCATAATTCAATGCGAGCTCTCTTCAAACTTGTGCCTGCGAGGCCAGCAAAAGTTTCAAGGTGCAAGTGCCAACAGGGCGTATACGTCATAAATGTGGCCTACCTTTTGCGTGTAGCTGTGGATTGAATGTGAAGCATCTGTTGAAATCTAAATTGAATGGCGGGAAAAATCGATTTAAGTTGCACTTTGTTTATTAAGCCATATCCCATTGATGAATTGAAAACAAAAATTCGAGTTGTACCACTCGCGAGTACCGCATGGTCGGTATAATCGATTTTCGTTTTTAATTTGAGAGCACTCATGAAAATAGCATAATAGAAAATATGTTCTAAATTAAGTACTGAAACCGCAGAAAAATCTTTTTACAGAAATTAATTTCCATTTTCTTGTTTTATAACAACCGTGATGAATTTGAGTTAGCTCAACCTAATCATCTTATCTAACTTGATAGTAAAACCCTTGCTTTCATAATGCACTTACTTTATTTGATTAAGATTCCCTTGCCCTCTGTTTACTAACTCAATAAATATGCGCTAAGCCCTCACAATTTGAGCCCTACAGCAACAATCGGTCATTCAAAGTCAAACAAGACACAGTATCCGAGCATCTGGCCTGCGTTTGAGTAGTACAAAGGTTGGAAGTACTGTCGAAATAAGTATGTCCGGGGCAGGTGTAAACGTTTCCATAGAATATGCCAGCAGCAGTGTAACAGTTCACATATCTGGGAAAAAATGTTAATTTAATTAAAGCATTTTACCAATAGAATACACAATAAATATACTCACTGCCTACATGTGGTGGAGGTTACCCCGCCATAGGGAAATCTTCCTGTTTTTTTCATGGTTCGACAATAGTCGGTGGCATCGGTGATGGCCGTGGATCCGCAGGTTCCTGAACCTGAGCCGGAGCAGGTCACTGAGAACATGGTGGGAGAGCCACAGATATTGGGGTTTTCCACGTTGCACACCAATTCCGAGCCGCAACTTCCTCCAATCGAAGCACTGGGAGTAGTTTCCCCTAGACACAGAGCGAAGGTGTTTCGACTGGTGCAGGCAAAGCGTTTGTCACTGCTGCACTTATTGCATCCTGGACAGGCTGGCTCGACTGACGAGGAACTGCAAAATGGTGTGCCGGCGATGCAATGGTATCCCGAGGGGCAGGTGTACAGATCTCCAATGGCCACACCATCGGAGGAGCACAACTGGAACTCGGTCTGGGATACGCAGGAAACAAGTGTTTCGGAGCACTTATTACAGGTTGCCTGGCAGCCGAGGATGCGGATGCACACTCCCAGAAAGATCAGTAGGCGGAGCATCTTTAAGTGGAACTGGGGAAACCAAAACCCTGTAAGCGAATTTATCCAGTCTAGTCTATCTAGTCCAAGTGCATTACTATCTTTTTGCTTATCTCTGCGAACATCTATTATATTAATTGTGGCTGCACTTCCATCACGTGATAGGAGAAGGTTATACAAATCAAGTAGTAATTCAAATCTAAGTAAGGTGTTGTTTTCAACTTGTAACTTATGAAAAATAATTAGGGTAATGAGAAATAATTTTAATTGTATTATGCTGTCTTGCTTGCAAAAATTTTTACCTAATTTAAGATTAGTTAACCTATCTGATATTTATTGTGTTCAATTGTCACACCATCTATGGAATCGTGAGGCTCAAAGTGGCGACTCCATAAGTACATCTTGCGGGCACTTCAGTTTCGCAGTAATGCGATGAGCTATCGTAATACGTTTGACCGGGACAAGAGTAGAGACCTCCCCGCCAGTAAGTTGCATTCAGGAAACAATATATGTACCTAAGTATTTATTATTCGTTAAAGTATTTAGGAGATAAGCTAACTTAAGTACTTACTGCTTACACGTGGTATTGAGGTCGATGCCATAGGGAAATCGTCCACGCTGTTGAACAAGTGAACAGTAGGCGGTGGGTGTCAATCCTGTGGGATCTAGTCCAGTTTCAGTAGTGTCTCCGGGACAAGTGGCCTGGGATCCCGCGGAGGGACTACCACAAATATTCGGATTGTTGTAATCGCAGACGTAGTTCGCTCCACAGCTTCCCAGGATCTGCGAAGGAGTGCTTGTCCCCAAGCACAACGAAAAAGTCCTGGCGGTGAGGCAGGCGAATGTGTTGTTGTTATTGCAAGAACCACAACCAATGCAGGATCTTAAGGCAACATTTGTGTTACATATAGCGTCATTCGCCGTGCAATAATATCCCGTCGGACAAGTGTAAACCGGACCGAAGGGCAAATCGTTAGTTGAACAAAATTGAAACGAAGTATTTGATACACAGGCAACGTTGCTCTTGGATGCACACACATTGCAGTCCGCTTGAGTGTCAAGTATATGGATTCCCAGCAAAACTCCGACTCCCAGCAAGATCAGAAAACGCAGCATCTCAAACAGCAACTAGCTATATTGGTGTCAAGCAGGTGTCTTTATGCTCTAGGAGTTATCTTATCACTTGCAGAAACTAGAACTTACACCACAGAGTTATAACTGCAAGGGGATTAAGAGCTTGCCTGCGAATTTAGGTCAATTTGTGCAAGAAACTCAACTAAAGACCATTTCAATTTTATGAAATCTAATGCACAGACTTTTTAATGAATATATATATATCTTACAAATCATTATATTAATAAAAGCCTTAATTTAAGGCCTAGTTTCATTTATTTCATTTAATTAAATTCAAAATAATGAAGACTTTAAGGAAGTCAATAAATAAAATGTCTTACTTATAAAAGAATAATTAATAATAAAATTAATAAGGATAATAATTTAACTATATTTATTTTTAAACTTTTTATTTTGTTAACATGTGCCCTTTCCACGCTTCTTTGTTAATAAACTGAATATTTACCTTTTGTGCAACGCGTTTTATCTTTTTATTACTTGTCCCTCAAACACTTGTTTTTAAATTATTTACCAAAGATCAACGGTAAGTGCAGACTGATAAACAAAGATATTTAACTTTGCTTTGAAAAAAAACAGTTTTTTTAATTCTAAAGTTTTTCAAGGCTGTCATTTCCTTAAAGATAAATTTTAAACACAAGTCAAAGGTTTATTAGTAACACAATTTAAAGTGATGTTACTAAAATAAGGTTTATTTGAAGGACATTTCCAGGTATTTCCAATCCATGTGGATCCTTTACTAAAGCAATAAATATATCTGTAGATAGAAATATTTAGAAATTAGGAGATCATCAGTTAATCCAAAAGCTCACCTAAGGCAGCTGGAATCATTGGGATATGGAAAGCGACCCGTGGAGGCTTTTGTGTTGCAAAAATCTACGATTACGGTTGTACTGTTGTAATACGAACAGGTGGCGCCTGTTCCATTTATCGGGGGTGCACAGTAGTTCTTGTTGTTGATATTACACACCTGCCCTGATGAACACGAGTACTCAACGCTTACTACACTCAACCCATCACAACGCGAAAAAGTGCTGGGACCTGTACAGGTAAAATTCAGTTTGCCAACACACTTATTGCAATCATTGCAGGAGAATAGAGTCGCATTAGAAGTGCACCGCTCCGCCGATCCAGTGCAGTTGGTATTGTTTGGACAAGTGTAGATGGGCCCCGTCGGAATATTGTCCGTGCAGTTTTGGTATTGGTTTGTGGACACGCAGGCTGCATTGCTCTCCGCCGAGCAGGCATTGCACTCGCCCTGGCTAAATCCCACCAGGATGGCCAAAAGAATTCCCAGACCGAGCAGCTGGCGCAGCATCTTCAAGAGTGACTGGGGCTTTCACTAAACCGCAGCCAGATATAGGTATCAGTCTTATCCAGAAAGCGAATTTAGATTAAGGTATTTGCACAGAAATATAAGTGGATGCATGCATTTTCAATTGCCATTTAATATACATAGTACATATTTTTTCCAGTTTTTTATATCTTATCTTAATAGTATTTAGAGCGAAACTGTAGTTTGTAAAATGTAGCTTTCGTTCTCGTTAACCTGTGTGACTTAAAAATTAAGTGCAAAAATTGGTATATTTAAAAAAATATTTTGAAAATTTTTTTTCTGAGAATAAATATATAATTAAATAAATTATATAATTTATAAATGTTTGAAAAACACTTGTTTAATAAAGCTTGATTTAAAATCGATGCATCGCGATGTTAGGTAATTTTTTTTGTGCAGACCGGAGCAACGAAAAATGTGTAGTCGCCGAAAAGTATGCAAAGCTTTTCGGCTCGACTGAAACGCCGGTAGCTTTATCTAAATTGGAGCACCTTTCAAGGTCCCGTCAGCCGAGGTCATTGCGGATTAAGAGCAATCTGCAAAATAGCTGCCAAAAACCAACAACGCTCTATTTAAGCCACCTGACTGCTGGCCACAGACATCAGTTGAAAAACAATTGCAGCCAAGAATGTCGCCCAACCGCCTTGGTTTGCCACTTAGCCTCGTGCTCCTGTTGGCCTTTCTGGTGTCCTCGACCCGCGGCACCTGCAACGTCTGCAACGTTGTCAACAACCTGACCTGCTACTCCCCCACCCAGATGCAGGCCTGCCAGGTGGGTGTCCAGTCCACGGCCACGCCCACCGCCTGCCCCAGCGGCTATGTCTGTGTGAGCGGATCGGGCGGGGTGCTCTGCCAGCCGCAGAATACGTCATCCGGCAGTCAGGCGGACTGCCAGTCGTGCAACCAGTGCGATGCGACCCAAACGTTTGCCTGCACCGGAACCCAGAGCTTCGCCCTCTGCCTGGGCACAAATACCGTCTAGGATTCGGTGGGGACCTGTGCCTCCGGCTATGTGTGCAACACCAATGAAACCCAGATATGCGGTCTGCCAGCCAGTGGGGTAAGTTTGTCCTTCCTTAAGTTTTGGTCTTCTTGAGCGGAAATGTGATGTCTCAAAAAGGAACAGGTGCAGGAGGAAGTTGGAGAGGAAATTAAACAATCAAGAAATTCTATTCTGTTAGGATTCATAACCACTGATGGGAGTACAAAAACACTTTGTATACTGTTTGCTTAAAGGAAAAGTGTGTTTAGTTATGTTCTTTCAAGATAATATTCTAGTTTATTAGACGCTTTTTGTGGTCTTATTGCATTTGACTTACTCATCTTTAAATAAATAACTTACCCAAAAGTAAACAAACATTTTAGCACAAAGAAAATGAAAGATTTTCATAAAATTCTATAGAAAACTTCCATTAAAATTATCAGAGTTAAATATAATTCAAAGTCATATAATTTAAATCTTCTTAAAATACAAACTTAAAATACAAACTAAATCATTACCCAAAACCTTTTAAGCTTAAGCTCTATTAGGCAAAACTTTTAGGCTTTCATAAATGGCAAAAGGAGAAAAAATCATTTAAGATTAATTTATGGATCACATGCATTTCCTTTTAGTTTTAAAAGCTTGCAATTTTGTTTTGCACGTGCTTTTCAATAAAAGACTTCATTTTCAGTGACAGAATAAAATATTTGTCTCTGCCACATAGTGAATAATAAATATGCACATCCGCCTAGGTGATGGCGACCTGTTCGTATGCTGCTGCCACAGCCATCAGAACGACGAGCCGCCCCACCAGCACCACCACAGCGGCACCACCTTCCACCAGTTCCGCATCCGCATACTGTGCGGCTGTTCAGTCGGAGGGAAGGTATGCGGTCGGATATAACGCGTATACGACCTGTCGACAGTATATCTACTGCACCTTGGTCAGCGGCAGTTGGATTGGTCAGACCTACACCTGTCCGGGCTCCCTGTTCTTCGACAGCTCCTCGGGAATGTGTGTGCCCGGCATGCCGTCCACCTGTTCCACCACGGCAACCACCACTTCCACGACGACGGCGGCACCCACGACCAGTAATCCCGGAGCATATTGCAAGAAGATGCAGTCGGCCGGCTCCTATCCCGTGGGCACGGTGGCCAGCACCACCTGTCGCCAGTACATCGAGTGCTTCCTCCTGGACGGAGCATGGAATGGCCACCTGTACACCTGTCCCGGCAGCTTGTACTACAACAGTGCCAGCAAAATGTGCGTGACCTCTTTGCCAGCCACTTGCTCCACCACAGTGGCAAGTCTGAGCCTAAACGGCGTGGATCTAAATTAATAAAGCATTCTCTAAGCGAAGAGTATTTGATGGTTTATTGGGTGCGTGAGTTCAGCCCTACAGACAGTAGCCCGGATTAGCGTAGTCGCATCTCTGAGTTTGGGAAACGAAGTACGAATCCGTCGGGCAGTTATATTCCGCCGAGCTGATAAGAACGTTATTCTTAAAGTAGCAACTAATGTAGCTGTAAAGATAAGTGGGTAAATAGCATGAATGATGTGGAAAATTCTACGCATTGTTATGCACGCACCGCTGGCAATAGGGATCCTCGGGTGAGACGGGAAAAAGTCCAGTGGCATTTCGCTGGGCGCACATCTGCGCCGGTGTCACAGGCGTGAGTTCAGTAGTGGTATTCACTGTAGAATCCGTGCTGCTACTTTCGGTGGTCACCGGGAACGCAGTGGTGGTGTCCACCAGTTCGTCATTTATGTCGCATGTGAGCGTTTGACCTTCGACCTCGGGCACACAAATCGCAGTGCTGGTGGCATCGCAAACCGTTCCCGGGGGGCAATACCCGAACTTTCCAGTGGGCCTGGTGGCTCCATAGCACATCTGAAAGATGCCACGACTCTGGCAAGCGAACAGATAGTTCCGATTGGCGCTGCACTGGCCACATTGCGAGGTATCGCCACAGCTCGGAGGACGTTGGCTGCTTTTCTGAACACAAATAGCCGTGAGATTTGTGCAGTCGAAGCCCTCCAGGCAATGGTACAACTGGTCACGGTGAGGGGTTCCATCTTAAACCCCATTAACATATATTAGTTATTATTCACATTTTCTTTGGATTATATTTTAAACTCACCTCCAAAACACAAGTAAAAGGAGGTGGAGTTGATGCAGGCCACTTTATTTGATTGACAGACATTGCAATCGGACACAGTTTGAGCAACCATAAAAGCCAGCAACACCTGTAAAATGAGTTAAATTAAATTTTCTTCTTAAATACCAAAAAAACTTTTACCACCACAAGTCCTTTGACTATATTTTCAATCCTGTATAACATTTTTAGGTTTCCGAACTGCTTCTGCTCACTGTCAAGGCTCTGAAGATACTAAAAGTTGGCTTATGATAACTACAATGTCTAGTCTCCAATGTTTATCTACTCTTTACTTTTCTCTGCTAATTGTTTTATTTGACTTGGCTTTCCACATGATCGCTGTTTTATGGGGTCTTATGATGAGAACGTTTCTAATGGTTATGATTGGTATGTGGTTGCGGACATTGAGCAGAAGTCGAATAACTCTTTTAATTACAAGGTTTTCAAAAGGTGGAACGACTTGCGCAAAGAAAGTTGTTAGTAATTGGTCAATGTTCTTTCAATTCTCTTTATTGCCATTATTCCGAACAAAAACTGTTTTGGCATATAAATATTTATACTAAGGTTATTGACCGCATTTAATACAAGACTTCAAATTGATCTTTTAAAACTACTTGTTTAAAGAGGTTTATGAACTTTACGTAAAGTTATTATATTATATCATCTGAGTGTGAGGTCATTAAGTGCATTTACCAGATACTATTTTATTATTGTCATATATTAGGAGTAAGGCCCCATAAAAGCAGATGCACTATTTGCATTTTGCGGTTATTAATAAAATCGCATGACAAATTTTGCATTTAGTCGGCTTAAAAATCTCAGAGCGTGCATAATGCAGTTCCTCAGAACTTTGGTAATTTAATATCCAAATCCTTAAAAATCGTTTTATTATCAAGTGGTTTTTTACAGTGCTTCAACGTGGCTATAACTTTCATGGTAGTTGCCGTTATCGGCGACTCAACATGCAATTTGTGCCAACAAAATCATGTGAAGTGCGTGAATGAGACCCACTTCAGTTTGTGCCTGGACAGCGTTTCACCGGACCAGGTGATGCAGTGTCCCGATGACCAGGTCTGCACCAGCTATGCCAAATTCTGCATGCCCAGGGGAGTGGTTCCACCTTCCTGTGGCTCGGATGCCGTCGTAAATTGTCCCTCCTGCGATGGATCATCCCTGTTTGTCTGCACCAGTCGAACCACCTTTCAGATGTGCGATGGGGATAAACTTTCCAGCCAAATCACAAAGTGCAAGGATAACACCTTTTGTGCCATAGGTCAAGGGCAATTTTGTGTGGATCGCTGCAAAGCAATGAATTCAGGTACTGGTCTTCAGTGCGATAGAGAGTCACCTTTGCAGGGATAAGTATTGAATCCATCTGTAAAACTATCAAGGGGAATAGTAATTTAATTGTTACAGAATATTTAATATTGTGAAAATTAATAAACCCCTCTGGACTTTAAAATATACTTTTAATTTTCTTTTTTGTTTATTATAAAATAAGCACACAACAAATATTTAGGATTAATTAGTGCAACCCGCATTAGCTGGTCTTACAGTTGCACAATTGAATATGTCTGCGTTAAAATAGGGCTTCTCTTTGGGACAATTATAGAGGATTCCTGCCCAGTTGTTTTTCTTATATACACAGTAGATATAGCTGGAAAAATCCGGAATAATTAATATTTCTTTCACGATCAATGAAAAGTTAAATACCTGGTGCAGACTGTATCGTTGGGTATGGGATAGCGACCCGTTGAGCTAATTCCTTGGCAATAGACGATTTCGTTGAAGACTGGAGTTGTAGCGGTGCCTTCGGTGCTGCTGCTGGCCTCCGTGACTGAGGAACTTTCTGAAGAAGGAGTTTCTGTGGAGCTTTCAGCAGAACTTCCGGTAGATGAATCACTGGTTGTCGTGGAAGCATCTGTTGAAGAACTTTCTGTGCTCGATTCCAAAGTGGAGCCTGTTGTTGGCGTATCAGAAGTTGTAGTAGTGCTATCATCTTTTGATTCCACAATCCGATCGCATATGTCATCATCGGTGGATTCGCAGCGGGTAACACATGGATTTCCGATGCCAGCTTTTGAGGCACTGCAAACGTAATCCTCGGCACAGGATATATCTTTGGCGGAAACCTCGCCATTGTTGCAAATCGCAAAGGTGGTCAGCGAAGTGCAGGCGAAGGTTGCCGATCCGGCGCATTGCCCGCATTTCGAGACATCACCACAGCCACGTTGGACATCCGTACCGTTGGCAAAGCAAATAACACTGTAGTCCGTGCAAATGGGAGTTTCGTCGGGACAGGTGTAGTTGACAGTCTGATCGCGAATACCTACAAAATTAGTAAGTCATAAGTTGGAAGATTCCCAAGAGAAAGTTAGGCCACCTTACCGTCAAAGCATATCTGGAATTCCCTTTCACCGATGCAGCTGTGCGAATCCACGCACCGACCACATGAGGCATTTACGGTGGCCGAGGCCAAAAGAGCCGCCAGCACTGCGATCAGCATGAACGCCTTCATTGTGAGTTTACGATTAAATCGGAAAGGAGGAACCACACAGCTTTATAAGCCCCGCACTGGGGTCATATCTTTATAGTGGTCCCGGGGCCATAACATTTATCTTTCAATGCCGAGCAGCGACCGTAAAGCTGTTCTTCCTAGTAAGGTAATCTTCGAGTAGCACGGGAGCGCTTCTTGGCAAATAGTGCCATATATTTTTAGAACTTTAGCATACCTAATCCTCAGTATAAAACTCTAACGCTATCTGCTGTTGCTCACTGTCTGTTTATTATAAAAGCCTGTACCTGATGGCTACTTCAGTTAGTCCGTTAGGAAGCATCAAAAAAGCAAAATGCAACAGTCCCAAATGCTGAGAAATCTGGTAAGCTTATGAGGGAATTTAGTAAGGGGAAAACCATAATAATAATTCCACTGTTCAGTGCCTTTTTGTGGCCTTTAGCTCTATGGCTGTGGTGGTCCTCGGATTGTGCAATAACTGCCAGGAAAACGGAGTGGCCTGCCTGAATGAAACACACTACAGGTTCTGCTCCCCCAATGTGGCTCCCAATCAGATCGCCCGTTGTGGCGATGGTCAGGTCTGCACCAGCCTGGGAATCATATGCATAGAAAAGGGCGCCTTTGAACCAGCCTGCTCGGAATCCGCTGCCGATGGATCCTGCGCCTCCTGCGATGGGTCCAGCATGTTCGTCTGCACCAGCCGCACCACCTTCCAGATGTGCGACGGGTCCACTCTAACCAGCCAGGTCACCAAGTGCAAGGACAACAAGATCTGCTCCATTAAATCTGGCAAATACTGCGTGGACCTTTGCGAAGCTGGCGGTTCCGTTGAGTGCGACAGAGAAGCTCCGCTTTAGAGTAAAGGAAATGAGTTTTAAACATTTGTACAAAATAAAAAAAAATACCTTTCAAATAAATAAATATAAATTTTTTATGTTTTTAATTAATAATGACATTTATTTGTTTCATTAAAAGGCGCAACTCGACTTTAACCCTATCAGCAGCGCACTGGTAATCAAACAAAAACTATTTTAAATCTAATATTTATCACATTAATTCAAATATTTTAATTCTTAAGCATGCAGTTAAATATGCACTGTTATTAAGATTTAATAATTAATATCAATATTATATATAAAATCTTTAATTAAATAGTCAAATATTTATTTTTATTATTCATTTTTTTGCTATCATTGTTATGATAATTGATCATTATTGTTAACTTAAGTGAGATTCATAGAAATTACAAAACACCAGACACATAAAGTTTTAGTTCTTTACGTATTGGTTTTCTTTTAATTATTGTTTGCATTCTATGATTTTTGTTTTAATTTAAAATGGTTTTAACATTTTTTGAATAGAACAGAATTGGGCTTACAAGATTTTTAATAAGTTTTCATTTGCAATTACTCTTCCAAGTATTACAAATTATTTCTTAAGAGCTATGGTATGAGCGTGGTAAACAGCTAATCAAATAGTTTTCTATATAATAGCCAAAGGTATTGTAAAAAAAACTAACAACATTTATTTCTTGGCTTTATTAATATCAGCATGATATTTTGATAAAATAACTTTTAGTTGTCCTTCATAGTCTTCTTTTATTGTTTGTAAATAAGTCAAAGTCCCAAATAAGTTTTCAAGAACTCGCGCCATATAAAACTTTTTATCACCCTTCAGCTAAAAGCTTATCATTGTTTTGGTCATCTCACGTTACCAGGGACAAAAGCAGTGCAAATTCCGTTGCGAAGGTCAGTTCTTTGGCCTCAGAATAAAAAAAAAATAAGTTTTGAAGTAAGCCAAAAAACCAAAAAAAATACCTTCATCAATTTTAAATACACCCTAATTGAATTAAGCAACTTAATTGACATTGACCCAATTTCGTCGGTGCTGCGTAATCAAATTAGATATGTGAAGCAATGACGTCAAAGTGGTGTAAAATTGTTATATACTGTAACATTTGTTTACGGTGCTGCAGATACCCAAATCAAATTGCTCAGCACTTTAATGCTTTGATTTTCGGTCTGCAGAGGAGTTGCTCCACATTTAATGGGCGCCCAGAGGTGTGGAAAAACAAATTCGCAACAGGAAACAAACAGTGAAAAGCGAGAGCACAGAGATGGGACCACTTCCCATCCAAACACAGCCAAAAAATCCAACAGGGCCCCCCGGCATTTCGCTGATTGTGGCGCATCTAATTGTTGTGACGATTGCGTTTTGTTATTGTAATTAATATTCAGCTAAACTCAGCTGGGGGCTTAGTAAAACTAAAAAGCGAAAAGCGTTGAACAAATTGCGGTCATTAAACTTTTTGCCACGCCGAGTGAAATAAATTGTCGCCCCCGCAAGCGCAGCCTTTCATAACAAAGTCACAAATCAACGCGAGCGGATCTGCCAACTGCCTACCGATCTCCCCAGTGGATTATTAACCATGTTGCCCATGCAACTGACTGTGGCTTTCAGCCTTTTGGTCCTGGCCACCTGTAAAGTGCACAAGCAAGTGCCGACAAATAGTTGGCGGGACATGCTTTTCGGCAGCAAATGGCTAACACCCGCTCCGCGTTGGCGAGAATCCAAGTGTGGGTCCTAAAACCTATTACCATCAATAGACAGAGTGTTTGAATTAAATTTTGTGTAACACCCAGCAGTTTTGCCCATTTTTGCCCTGGTTCCCATTGGTCCTGGCAGCTGTTCAGCGCCTTCGGGCGAACAGGGAAATTGCATTCCCAGCAAGGATTGTGTGCTGAGAAATGGCATTCCAGCTGGTCCCTGTGGCGGTGGCTATGGCGTGTGTTGCATCTGTAAGTTTTCACCTGACTGCGAGTCCCGGTAAAATGCATTTATTTATTTGTTTTGTTCAGTCCTTCAGACATGCGGCGGTATCATACGCGAGAACTCCACGTACTTTGTAAATCCAAATCATCCGGATGTCTACGACGGCACCGGAAGTTGCCAGGTGACGGTGCAAAAACTTCACCCGGATATATGCCAGTTGCGACTGGACTTGGATATGTTTTCAATAGCCCCTCCAGAAGCGGCCAATCATCTGTGCAATCAGGACCAGCTCTTGATATCGGGCGGCAGTCCCACACCCACAATTTGTGGCAGTTCAACCGGAGATCACAGTGAGTTCGCCAGAAGATTTGATCAAACTAATACAAATTGATTATTCAACGAAAAGTATGAAAAGCTTAATAGCTAAATTTAATTTTGCAAAGACCAGTTGTGTTATTTTTTAAGAGTGAAAGACAATTTATTGTGTTTCCGTAATTTTTCCATTTGTGGCAAATTTTTTTTTTTTAATTTATTTTTAATTTTTAAATTTCTAAGTGTTTTTTGAAATTCAATTTCACAGCTTGTTTAAATAATATACCAATCCATATCGGCTTAGTGGAGTGCATTGTTAGTCATCATCTTATGCTTATGACTTGACAAATATTATGTTTAATATATAAAAATCACCCCCAGACCGTGTGTACAAATACTAAACAAAAGCGGCTTACTTTTCAATGCCAACCTTGTGTTTTCGCAGTGTACATTGACGCGGGTCTGGGGCAGAGCAACCCGATTGTTCTGTCGGTGATCACCAGCGCAAGTTTTCCTCGTCTGTGGCGCATTCGCGTCACCCAAATCCACTGCGGCAGCATAAGTCGAGCGGATCAAGGCTGTTTGCAGTACTACACGGCCATTAGTGGAAGGGTGCGCAGCTTCAATTACAACACGTTGGCTGGAAGACAATTGTCCAACCAGGACTACAGCATCTGTATTCGTAACGAGCGAAACTTCTGCGGAATTCAGTACAACGCCTGTCCAGATCTGGAGAACAACAGATCGAGGGCGTTTACGCTGACTGGAAACTCGAACAATCCTGTGCCCACAATGGTGGGTGGTGGAGGATCTCAGGTGTCCACCACCAGTGGGTGTGTCAGCGATTGGCTTCTGATTGGCTGCATTAGATCGGCGGACAGGATTCCTCCTCTGCCCGGTTGTGAGGATCGCGTTTGTGGCGGAACTTTCAGCGCGGAGGCTGGGATGCTGGCCAAAACGGTGCAGTGTAAGTAAAATTATAAGGTATTATTTCAAATTCAAAGTTGTTCAATTATTTTGCAGAGATTTCTAGAAACTCTTGTATTCAAATTTAAAGGGGAAATCTAAGATCTTTATTATATTGTAACAAAATATAACAATTCCTAAAATTTTTTTAATTTAAAGTTGGAGTTTATAGTATTCATTTTTTATCACCTATTAATTGATTTCCTTGACTTGTTAATAATATCATCTATAATTTCCTTTATATCCTGACAGCCAGCGTTCGTCCATTTAGACTTTACTTCCACACGGATGGCGTAGAGGCTCCCAATGATATAGACAACCGGGGATTTTGCCTTGATTATGTTCAGCAGCCATGTACAAATGGTTTCTAGTGCTCATCCAAAAAGTATGCAATACTCTTTATTAAAACCCTTGACATGACCCATGCGAGAAAAATCGCTAGGAAATTGTGATTGGCGCTGCAGAAGTCGCACACAAAACGCGCATATTTTTTTATATGTAATAAATATGTATTTATTTATTGATTTTCGTAATTAAGTTAGACATAACTTGTAGATTTAAGTTAATTTAGAAAGCACAAATCGTGTCGTATTTTGGTACAAATTTTAATGATGTGGGTCGGGATATCGAAATTTCTTGTGATCGAAATTGTAACATTGAAATCGTTTTCAACTACTAATACAGGTTTTTTGAATTACGTTTAATTAATAATACTTAGCTGAAGCAAAAACAAAAAATTAAATAACAGAAAAACACGAGGAAAAACGCTTTTGTTTAAGGACATTTTCGTTGATGTTGTTGGTACTTATACAAGTATATCGTTGCAGTACTGATGATGCGCACGTTGTCGTATAAAAGGGATTTTCTGGGTTCGCTTGCTCGCCTGAGATCGCCAATTTCAGTCTGTGCGCGTAGTGCCCGACTTGTGACGTCACTGGGGATGGGATTATCTCGGATGTGATGCGGGTATCTACGTGATGCGGTAATCGCCTAATCCTAATAGGTTTGTATTAAGGCAGCCACGTGCTGTTTTTCCTCTTCGGTCAAACCGTTCTTCAGCGTGCGACGCACTGCAAAACATGAATCAAATGTGTTGTAATAAAAATCAAAAAGACTTACAACAATGATTTAGTTAGGCTGTCATTCTATGTTAAGTCTTTAGGTCATGCAGCATTTATTTTTGAAAATCCGTTAGGCCACATGCAAATGCAATTTATATATACAAATAGGTGTGTAGGCAAAAGCCGACCCATTTTTCCATGCAATAAAACCCGGATCTTTAACAAAATACAAAACAAGGCTGAAACAAGTATCAGCCAATTGGGGTTGAAACAAATTATTCGAAAACAAAAGGTGTAGAACTCAACACAAATCAATTCACTAACCAAAAAAGGTAAAACCTAAAAAACAGTTGGCTGTTCTTTTGGCAACGGTTACGGATACGGTTAACAGTAACGCTTTCTACGGCGATGGTGCTCTTTCAACTGTGAATCCTTCGCGCGTGCGGCTGCGCTTCACTTCGATAGTCAATATTTCAGATTGGTTGGGTTTGGTTTTATTGATTTTTTATTTGGTTTGTTGGATTGGTGCGTTAATGGTAATAGAACGAAATGGAAAGAAATTAAAACCCAATATAAAGGCAACAGATTCGTAAGCTGGCAAAACTAGGGGGAAAAAAGCTGCGAAATGGGGAATATATTGTAAATAGGGGAACAACTGCAGGGCTTCGTGTGAATTTGGAATTTTGTGTGTGGTAAATACATATTTATAAAATTATATAGTTTTTTTTTGGAATTGTTGCTGCTGGTGTAGTGTGTTTCTGGTTTTGAAGTATCCAGCTAGAGGTTATACACATAGCGCGCTGTGTGTGATTCGAAAAGATATAGACCAGCACCTTTTCATTAAAAAACGTATTCTCACTGTCAGAGTTTTTGGACGTGGATCTGGAATGGATTGACTTGTGGGAGCGGTCAACTTACATGATTTGCGATCCGCGTGACGCGTCCGTTTCCGTTCCCTTGGAGTTGTCCGGGTTCCGGGTGCCTTTGTGGCGGTTTTCACAAGAGATTCCAATATCTCATCGTCACCGTCGGTGAACTGCTCCTCACTCTGGCGGGTGATCGGCGAACGGAGCTGCTCCGCCCGCCTTCTCCGCCAGGTGAGCGTTCCATCAGCCTGATCTGCACTAGATGTGTCTAGCAATTTTCTGTAACACAAAAAGTTTTAATCTTTAGATCACATTAAATCTTTTTGTAAATGTAAAAATCTATAAAACCCTTTCCTCTGATAAAGCAATAAGCCGTTGAGAAATGTTAGTCTCACTTTAAAAAAGCTTATCATATTATATTTCCGGAAATTCGGGTCATTTGAATAGCGATAAGCAGGTGATTTGGTTTGACTTATCGTTTCAATATGATGTACTTAAGTCATGTTAATATTGGTGACTAGATTATAAAATATCTTTGGAAATGGAATGATAAGAATTTATGATGTAATGCCCTCAATACTCACTTCAGTTCGTCGTCGGCCACGTCATCTTTGGTCTTGAACTTGGCCATGTCGATGATCAGCTTGCCGCGCGTCTTGTTCCTCTCGCGGTGGTTGGCCTTCTTCTCCAGCTGCTGCTGCACTCGCTCCCTGGTGGTGCGGTACTCCAGTGCGAATTCGGACAGTGTCCGGCAGAACTCGTTGGGCCGCGACTCCGCCACACTGTGCTGCGGCATGCCCAGCCAGAGGAGGAACTTGCGGTAGCGGTTCATCACCCGCCGGTGGACGATTTGCAGGATGATGATGCGCTCCGCACAGTCGGCCAGGAAGTCCACCAACTTTTGCTTCAGCGGCGGCGGACAGTCGTGTTTGGCAATCAGTTTCAGACGATCCCAGCACGCCTTGCATTCCGCCTCCAGTTGGTTGAGATTGTGGGCCAAGTCTGTGAAGTCCGCCTTGGAGGCTCGCGTGATGGGTCCAATCTCCGAGTAGAGATCGCTGGTGTCGCTGCTCGACTCCATGACCATGTGGCAAAGGTGGTGCAGCAGCGAGTGCTTGTGCACTGTGTCCTTCACCTCCGGCACCTTGGCCAGGTACTCGATCTGGAATCCCTTGACCGGAGCTCCGTTCAGGAAGATGCCCACGGAGAGCAGCGTGGAGAGGATGCTGCGGAAGGTGCGGTTCTGACGCAGGATCTCAATGCCTTGCTTGAGATCCATCAGGGGTTCCGCAATCTCTTTCTGTGGTTGGGTAATATAAGAAAATTTAAATTTAGTTTAGTTAAGTAAAATACAACATTTACCTTCAGCTATTTATGTCTGAAAAAACTGTATGGAAATCTAAGCATCCTTACGATAATAGCAATAATCCATTGCTTCAAAACAATTTCTAGAAATCATAGCGTTCTTAACAGAGCAAATTATAGCAATAGTACCTAACTCAAAAGACAATTCAAGAGGTTTTAAAATATAAACAAGTATTCAAACATGAAAATTCTTTTTGGGATTGTATTTTGAATCTTATTTTAAAATGTAAGACTTGGAAACCTGGCTTCGAACCTACTGTTAAAGCACCATTTTTTAAATAACTTTGTAAATATATATTTCTACACCTTTAAATCAAGTTCCTTGATATCCAAAGAAAACTTACCTCGCTGTTGTCAAAGTCCAGGCGGAAGGCCCACAGTTTGAGGCGGGCCTCCAGCTCCGAAATGGAGGCCAGGGTCAGCAGGAACTGCTCGGCACTGCCCAGGGGCAGCTCGGGATTGGACAGCTGCGCCTCCTGAATCTTGCCCCGCTCCTCGTCGGTGGGCAGCATGTTGAGCAGCTTGTCGATGCCCTCGCGCGTGACCACAGTGGCGTCCATCTTGAGGATGGCTGTTTTGATGGCCCGCGGAGGAGGGAGCTTGGTGATCGCTATGTTGATGGCATTGGAGCGCTTGTGGTCGAGCACGATGATCTCTTTGCTCTTGTTCAGCTCTTGTTGTTTCTGCAAGGTCAGCGAAATGGGGTTAATACCATTCGATCAGTGTGTTCGACCGGTCAGATATAAAATAAACACAGTGGTGCAAAGATTAAACGAGAGTGTAGAGTGCAAAGTGCAAAGTTGGATAGGAGTTTCTGTGCTGTTCTGTTCGTTTCTTCGAGTGTACGTGGGTGTGAGAGAGTGTGCAAGAAATAGTGATATTAACCAACACCAAAACACAAAACAATATGGACAGATCGTGAGTTATATGGTGAGATATATATAGAGAGAGAGAGAGACAGAAAGACAAACAAATTTAATAACATTTTGATTGGCACTCACCTCCTAGAGACATGGGAAACATTTGAATATTTGAGAATTATTTGCATTTTGGTTTTGAGTTTAGCACAACATTTATGTAGATTTATCCGCAAACAGACCGTTCGACATTTATAGTATGTATTAAGAATTATACAAGATATCCATAAATATAGGGGAAAGAAGAATACAAAAATCATTCGCATTTTGTTAACGCAACATACACTTAAAGGAGAGTCTATGGCTAATTTAATCACACTTATCGTAGATTCGTTAAATTTCGAAAACCTCTGACCAATTGGGAATTATAACAGCTAGAATGTTACCAAACGCACCTTGGTCATCAAGTCTTTGGCCCGGGACTCAAAGAGATGCTCGAGCTTCTGGGTGTCCACATTGGCATCGGGCAACTCATCCCAAATGGTCTTGCCCACCACCTGTGGTATCATGTCCTCGCGCACTTCCTTCCAGAAGAGCTTGACCTGTAAGTATAAATAAAAGCCATTAGTTCTCATTTCTTATAAAATTGGTAATTGCTGCTCAATTACCGTCTTCTTGTTCTTTTTGATGGTGTTATTCCCGTTGACCAGCTCCCCATTTATAGATCCGTTCAGCGAGTTGACGCTGTTGGTGAGACTGCCGCCATATCCGAACATGGGCGGCGGTGCCAGGCTGGGCGGCATCATGGGTGGTGGGGCAATGGCTCCGCCCAGGGGCGGTGGCGGAGGGGGTATACCGGCGCCCAGACTACGAGGAGCCAGCACATCCTTCTCGTCATCATCCCTCAGATCCGTGAAGTCCAGGTCGCAGAGATTCAGGGGCCTCGTCCTGTTCCTAACCAGCTCCTCCCAGTGAAGTTCGTTCTCCGACTTCTTGGGCTCAGACTTCTTCAGGTCCTGGTCCACACTCGAAGACCTAAATGGTAAAACATATTATATCATCGGACTAAACTTTCTTTCTTTCCCCCAAATAATTTCAGTTATCATGTTAAGAAGTCTCATAAATGATTAGTCTGACCTTATCTGCGACAGACGCACTATATACTCTAAAGGCGATAAGAAATGAGAAATCAGGCGATGAGGGGCGGGACATACAAGTTTCTAGAGATCCGAGAAACCCGATGACGAACAATGATAGGACCATGATTTTTTGGCACTGCTCAGATCGTGCGAAAACCTGGACTCTTACGAAACTGCCACATAAATCTAATCTAGCTACATTTGCACAATGGACTCTTCGCATTATCGGCTTGCATTGGCAACCGTTATCGATTGCTATATACCGATAAGCGTTAGTTGTTAACCATAATTCTTCGATTTCCGGGCGGTATAAAGGTGGTGCACTGAGCGGGACAAGACACATTTGTCAGGCATAACTCAAGCAACATGGCCGATGTAAGTTGACGATCGTCAGGATCTGGATATGGGAATCGCTAATTCTGTTTGTGCCCCCGCAGTTCAACGCTATCCTGGAGAAGACCAAGGCCTTCAGCCAGAAGCCCCCAACGGAGGTCTTCCTGGAGTTCTACGGCCTGTACAAGCAGATCCATGAGGGCGACATCACCATCGAGAAGCCCGCCGATGCCGAGGGCGCTGCCAAGTACGATGCCTGGCTGAGCCGCAAGGGAGTGTCCGTCGACGACGCTAAGGCCGCCTACATCGCCCTGTACGAGAAGTACAACCCCATCTACGGATAAGCCATAGTTTACGACTCTGTCCGACACCCCAATAAATCTTGACCACCTGTGAACTAATTGATTGTCTGTTTGATTTAAACTTTGAGTTGTTCGGCTTGAGATTAGCGTCATAGAGCCCTGGCACACTTGCCATCGGATGACCAGCAAGCGTGGCACTGCTAATCGCTGCTGGCTTAGCTCAAATACTTATCTTCCACTGGTGGCGCCATATATTCTCGTAAATCCTGGCCATAAACCATGTAAAGACAGAAGGAAACCCTATCTAATCTAGTTAAGATTGCCCAGCGTAAGTAGAAAGCGGGAAAAAGGCACATTGTATTGAAGTGCCATCAATTCAGCTTCATTTAAGGAAATGTAAATAATTTCGATTAGTACCTTAACTTTGTGCCAAAATTGATTAGGTTATTTATATGAAAATGTCAAACAACTAACATCAATAATTTTTCTGTCGAAAAAACCAACTGGTATTCAATTTAAAGCATGGCCTTTTCTCTAAATATTCCCTGAGTAAAATTTCTATAAGAAAGTGAATAATAATTAAATAGATTAGCTAGGGTATGAACTTTTAGTTCCCCATTCGCCCAATGATAGTATTCCACACTGAGCGAACGTAATCTTAATCTTCCAATCCGGATCACTTACCTGGATATCTCTCCTTTGCTCTTGCTCTTGGCCAGACCCTCTTTGGCTTTCGAAATGAGGCCGGACATGTCGCCGACGAGGGCTCGATTGGCGGATTCCTGGGTGGGACTCATGGGCAGGTTGCTCAGCTTCTGGGTGAGGTCCTTGACGGTGTGGTCCCGCTTCAGCTGCTGCAGCAGCTGCTTGTCCTCGTGCTCCATATCTGCGATATTAACAAAAAGTTAACACAATTCATATGATTTTCAGCTCTCGAAAGTATGCAGCGGCAGGTGCGCAATGCAATGTGGGTGTTTTTTTGGCGGCGCTTGCGAGTATGCAACACACAGGTGAGTGAGAAGGGGTGAGTGAGAAGGGGCTAGGGTTGAGACCCACCTGAAGGATCCACAGGACGCGGCAGCAGATCTGGGTTAGTACTGGTTAGGGTTCGAGCTGCGGGCGGGCTGCTGTAGATGGGGGCGTGCCACCAGCCAGGGGGCGGTGGTGGTGGCGGAGGCGGTGGAGGTGGCGGTGGGTGGGCCGCCACGGGCTTCCTAACCGGACTCAGTGGCTCCGGCTCGGGCAGGACATCACACTTAACGGGGGTGGAGCTCAGCGGAGCGGGAGCAAAGTCAAATCCCGAGGCATTCAGCGTTTTCTTGGGACTCAACAGCACTTCCGGTGCGGGCTGCATGGGCTGATGGATCTGGTGTTTGGGCGACTGACTGTAGTAGTTGTTCAGCCGATTCGCCTCGTTCTCGTACTTCTTGTAGGCACTATCGGTTTGCTGGATGTTCTTCATAATGCCACTGATCACAGTTGAATTGCGCTCCCGAAACAGATTCTTCTTCGTCAGGAACTCGCTCTGGTTGTTATTGCTCGCCTTGTCGAAGCTGTTGTTTATGATGGAGATGCTGTGGCTGCCGGTCAGCAATTGCTTGCTGGGACTCATCAGCAGCAGGCTGTTGTTCGGCGTGTCATTGCAGCTGAGACTGCTCACATTGTTGTTACTGAGGCTGCCGATTCCGTTGAGGTTGTTGCACGGCGGCTCCTCGTGTTGCAAAGACTCGGGCGGACTGTCGCCGACTTGGATGGTGGCGGGTATGGCAGTTACTATTTGGCCTTTTTTATATTTGGCATGGATGGTGTTTTTGATTTGTTTTGTTTTGGTTTTGTGGTTAGCATGATCAGCGGGTGAACAGCGGGACAATAATACACACAGTGATTAGCGTTTGTGGTGGGAGAGAGAATCACAAGTTAGTTAGTCGCCCAAGTCAAAAGCAGCTTGTATAAACTATTCCTTTTGATTCAATTCGAAACTTACCCAGACCTTCGCGCTGCTCTAGAGCAGCAAATATGCCATTGGCCGCCGCCTCTTGTTGCTCCTTCAGGAAGCTCTTGTGCCGCTCCGCCCGCTCTCGTCTCCTGCGAAGTCCTGGAGTTACGCCTGCTCCATCGCGAGCTAATGGGATTAATGGAGAAGTTCATATAATAAATTAACTGTCCCCATATCGTTACATTAGCTGCGGTCATAAATATTTGAGTTTTTTAGCTTATGAAAATAACTTTCTAAACTACAATAGTTTAAAAGAAACTGATAAATCTATTTTTATATTTTTTGAAGTTTTTACTATTGGTTCATATACAAAATTCCAATTTATCATAGATATAACATTTCAAAATATTTTAAAATAATATTGATACAACAATTTCTATTTGTTTCTAATTTAAAGAATAGGTCAGATATTAAAAATATTTTTATTCCAACACAAAGTCCAGATAACCAAGGATTTATTTAACGATTATTTACTACATTATTTTAAAAAATTAAAACTAAAGTATTCCCATGCCTCGAAGGTATGTATTTAAGCACTTTACTTTGTCCCACTACTATTATTATGACCGCAGCTGTATATGTTTTATATTTTTATAGCCATTACTTGTGTAGTAATATTATATTTGTGGTTAGTTTCTTATTCCAGAACTTACGTTTCTTTTCATTAAACAGTCCCCCGCTGAATTCCGTGGAGTTGGTGGATCCGGAACTATCCTCATCCAAGGTGCCCTGGGTGGGCGTCATCCGAAGGACTGTGGTGGGCAGGACCTTGGTCAAGGGGGCGGGGCTATTGTCAGTGCTGTGACGTCGAGACTTGCGCCTTTCGGTGGTGTTTGTCCCCGGACGATAACGCTGCGTTTTACGCATTGAATTCTGCGGCAAACGCTGTCCGTCCGACTCACCATCCTCAAATCTGAGTAATAAAATATTGATGTTATCTGAGCTCATTAGATATCCCCAAAATAAGTAGTAAACTCACTTCAGCACAGCCTCGTACAGTTGCAGCTGATCCAGGAGATCCAAGTCAGTGCCCGGCTTGGACATATATCGCTGGATCACGGTTTCCATGCCCTGTTGCTCCAGAAGATCGCTCTCGTCATAGAAACTATCCTGATCGTTCAGGCCCGCTAGTGTTTTGTTGATCAGCGAAGTGGCGTAGATTACCAACTCGGCATCGGCATTGTCATAGTCCTTAAGCAGTCTGAGAAGAGTATGTTTAAATTAGTACAATTCTAAGAATATCTTTTATATATTTGAATAGCTATCTTCAACTATCCAAAAGGAGACATACCTCATTATATTCGACCAGGGCAGAGTGCCCTGGGAGCCGTCCACCGCGTGAATGGCACTGACCAGCGCATAGCAGTTGGTCTCGGCGTACTCCACGAAGACCAGCAACAACTTGAGGGCGGTCTTCACCACGGATCGGTAATTGGAGGCAATCAGCGAGTAGAGCCACTGCATCGTCGGCTCATGCTTCATCACGCCGTTCATGCCGTCCACATAGAGCATGACCTGCCAAAGCCGCATCGAATGACATAATTAGCCAAGCTTCCCATGGGCGCTCACTGCAATCTGTGCTACTCACCTGACCGAGGGCCCGCAGAATGTAATTCTGATAGTTTTGATCCGCACAATTGCCCACGCGCACCAGGCAATTGAGGCCGCCGAGGGCCACGAAGGCGTGCACCAGATCCTTATCCTCCTGGAACACCTGCTTCAGCGAGAAGAGAGCGCGCCGCAGGTCGCTGCCCTCCGCGGATAGGAGTTTCTCTGCAAAAAGTCAAAGTCAGTCGGTTGCACGAGGCGTATGCGCAATAAGCTTTTCATTCCGCTTACCAATTATAGCGTGCACGCGCACATTCAGCTGCGTTCGCACCACCAGAGAGTTCTTGCGGCTGTGGGTCAAAAATAAAAATTAATTTTCAATACTATTTCTCCGGCAGCTTTGTTCCCATTCCCATGCAGTGTAAAAATTAAACAACTTTGTTCAAACACTTTCACTCGTAGATTGGTTTACAAATTTGCTGCTAGCGAAATGGCTGTGAGCAAATATAGTCTAAAATGTTTAAACTTTAAAATTGTATTGTTTGAAATGATCATTTTTATATTAAATTGATATTTTTGGTTCATATCCAAAATGCTATCACTGCATAAAAAATATTAAATACATTTTTAAAACTATTAGACAAAAAAGTATGTTCACTGGAAGAACATATAGTTTTTAAATTGCAATTAAGTTTAACTTAGTACTAAGATATTTTTCTTTCTTTTCACACTTTTTCAAAATTTAAGCTAATAAACCTCACACTACGAACCAGTTTTCCCCATGTGGAGCGTCAAAACACAATGGGGGGCTGGCTGGCACCTCCAGCAACTCTCGACTCCTGCCCAAGTCCAAGCCCAGTTCATTGACCAGTTAAGAACATTGATTACCCGCTGGTGCTCGCTTCGCTTCACCCCGGCCCCAGCTGGTCATAATAAAAGTAATAACAAACGACGCAGATAATTGAAAACGGACTATGGGGCGGCAGGCAGTCCGACACCGGGCTCACAAGCTATATCTATATAGACATACAGTATAGGCGAGAGTGCGCAACAAAGGTGAGTGTCTGAGCCGCGAATGTCCAAGACACACCTGTGCGTGTGCAAAGTGTGTCTTCTTTTCTGCAGATTGACGGGCACCTTTTGCGGAATTTTGATGCGAATTGAAGCGCATGATTTGCATGCGAGCTCGCGCTGCCATGACTAATGCGATAAGCATGATTAGTGGCCATCGGACTGAGCGGAGCTGCTATTCTGACCATGGCAATGGCCAGAAGAAGAGCAATCCACTGCCATTGGCGCCACAACACTCGTAAATGGCGTGGAGACGAGCTGCGCCGCAAAGTGGCGGCAATTTGCGCAGACGCGGCGACATTTACGTTATAATTTCAAAGACTGCAGATACTCGCACAGCTTAGAAGCGGTTGCTCCGCCCCGAAATGACTGATGATCATGGATGCGGCGCTGTAGTGAAAGTCAGAAATAGACCAGGAATCCATCCATCCATTCCGCCGGCCCAGGGTTAAGCAACTCCAGAACATTGACTTTGAACTCGGTACGGTTATGACCATACCATACCACTGCTGTTGCCAACATCTTCATAGGCGACTGCTGCTGCTCTTACTTTGACACTTGTGCCCCGTCGCGTACATCATTTTTCTTTCGTGCCCCAAGTTTTGTGGAGCTGTCTTAGCGCCTGCCTATGCCATGACATCACGTTCTCCGGACTGGCCGAGAAAATAAAGGAGAAAAACTAAGAAGTGAGAAAACAAGAACTTGATAAGACTAAGAAATACCTCTAAAGGGCTAAAATAGTTTCACAAAACTTCTACACATTATTAAAATCAAATGATGGTATTTAGAATTTCGTTTTAAACTTTATTTTTTATCATTTAAACATATTTTCTTTTTGCTATAATGTTTTTCGGTTTTCTTGAAAAATGTATAAATAAATCTATTAAATTAAGTGCAGAGTGCTAAATACCACTGATTTTTAATCGTTTTTTATATCTCAAATTTTACAAGCCTAAGAATATACTTTCCTTTAACATACAACTTCCATTAGACCCGAAAACCACTGCCTTTTAAGGGGTACTTAAATATACTTATGCATAAAGTACATTTATGCCAGATATGAGAAAAGACCACAAAAAATGTAAATATAACAACTGCAGGCTGCTACGACAACGACTCAAATGTGACGTGGCGAGCGTTTTTGTTTTGTCTCTGTGCTTCTTTTTCTGCGGCTGTGCGCGGATTAAATGCAAATTAACTGCAGACTGCAGCGGCAACAAGTTGCACGTAGCAATGTCGTGGCATGCAAATGTCTTTGCGATCCGGTGAGTGCCGGCCAGAGCGACAGTGCGACAGAGTGGCATAGTGGCAGAGTGGCAGGCAGCTAAGCAGGTAGAGCTAACCAGCCAGGTAGGCAGATAGCCAACTCCGTTTCCTGTGCCACAGATAGCGACAGTTTTTTATGGCCCGGCCAAATAACTTTATTAGCGAGCGGAGATGGCGATGGCGATGCTGGCGGACCGCCATGGCGTATGTGTAATATGTTGCATTTCGGTGAAAGGCCGACAGAGCCACCCACGATCAACTGCCCCAATAACCCAGAGGGGTTCGACTGGTTCGGAGTTTCCTGATCGACATTGCTAACTATTGATTACAAAGAGTGGTGAAATCAAGCTTTATAAAAAGTTTAAAATTAATCCACGATCATTACATTACAAACATTAACAGCAACTATTGGTCGCTGTATGCTTTACCTACAAATCATTATAAGATACATATTCACATAAATTTAACAATCACAAAAGATACAAATTTCTAGCATGGCCAAATATGTATTTTGTGTATATTTTTTAACATTTAAAAAATATTTAAAATAAGAGATGAAATTATCCCGATATTCGGATAATACATAAAACCACCTCTTAAGCAATAAATATTAACTTTAGACCTTCTTGTAAGTCCTTCAAAATGTTTAAAATACTATCCTAACATCCTAGTGGCTACAAACAAGCTAGCTTGGCAACAACGTTCCCGAAAATAGGAAAATGGGTTCAAGGTAAACAGCAGCAGTGGCAGACATAGTTGCAAAAGTGAAATCCCCTGACAAATGTTTGCGAGTGGGTGAAGTGCACCAGGTGTGCCCCATGTGGGCTGACAATTCTTTTCTGTCCAACCTCATTAGCCGGCGTTTTGGGTCAGGTGTTGGCGGGGCTCCCCACAAATCGTTGTCTTCGCCGCACTCACCTCACGTTGAGTCCCTCGATTTCCTCGGTCTGCTCGGCCAGCGATGACTCCAGATCCAGGTAGGCTCCGTAGTCGCCATCCTTGTACACCTGAATGGCCGCATCATCGATCTGAAACGGGGAAGAGAAGATGCTTAGTTTCGCTGGCAATTATAATTAAAGTCTGGCTAAAAGTAAATGCCAACGCCGATCTCGCCACTACCGCACTACGCAGTAAAAGTTGTTTATGGTCTCGGCTCATGGAAAAGAGAAAGAAGCTGATGGTGATGGCGATGGCGATGGAGTTTGGGTTTGAGTTGGGTTGCAGTTGCAGAGGTTGATGTGCCGCTGCAGCGTAGAACGTTTTGAGGCACTCAAAGAAATTTTTGTTCATATTAATGAACATTTTGAGACAAATTTGTAACATTTTAAAAAATAAAAAAAACTTTTTGAGTATAATGTGCATTTTGTTGTCAAGTTTTTTTTATAAACTATTCTTGTTATGCTCATACACTTGTACGACAGACGGATGCAAAAAGCTGAGAAACCATACTTAAATTTAAAAATCACTTTTAAATATATTTATGTACATTATTGAAAATGTACTGTTTATTTTTTGTGTACAGTGCAGGACGCTGCATTGAAAGTCCGCAGACGATTTCGTTTAGGCGCACATTGAGGCCGCCGGTTGATTGCTGGCCAAGACCAAGATGACGCGTCGTCGCCGGCTGGTCACCTACTTTTCTCTGCTTTCGGTTTTCAGACTTCAGTTTTCCGTTTTCCAGCCGCTGATTGATCAAGCTCCTGCTGCGTGTGCACAAATGCGCTGATTGACGACGGTCGCAGACGTTGTTTTATTGGCGCATTGAAAGTAATTATTTCTGCATTTACAGAACAATTACCAGACAACATGGAAATATTTGTGTCGACGACGCTTGCTAAATGTGTGAAAAAAGATAAACAAAACGGCAAAAAAAATAGGAGAAATACTGTCCGCTATCCGGGAGGAAGATTACACATACGCCCCCTTGGACACGCCCCGGTATTAGCAGAGAATGCGAGTTTGGGCTTGGGTTTGGCTAGCGCTTTTTGTCTGGCTTCTGGCCAGACACACCTTCAAAAATACCCCTTGCATGTCCTGAGGGCTTTCTCTTAACAAAGCACATTTGCTAAATTTAAGTATTGACCAGTTGTTGGTCAATGACTTTTCTGGGAACTATTAAAGAACTTTTCTATAAACACTTCACAGTGATTAATCTATTACTGCATTTTACTTAACAAACATGAGCAATGACCACAAAATCCAATTCAAGATTTCTTAGGTAAATGACTCGCCGACAGTTCACTAAATAAAAAAAATATTTTTAGAGTGCCACGCTGTCTAGCGAGTCACGTTTTCTTATCAAAAAGAGAGCTCTCGACTTTCCGAGCAAATTTTGCCTTGGGTCAAGCTTCCGCATGTTGATTCAGCATTAAGGCAGGGAAAAACTTTCTAGACCAAGTGTGTCCGTCATTGTTTACCTAAACTGGAAATCCGCATTCAAATTATGTGTCAAATGCGTGCTTAGTCGATATTTATAAACGCCTCTTTATATAAGCCAAGGGGCAATTAAAACCAAAGCAAACATTGGCCAAAAACTAAATCCATTCCGGCTCGCTTTTATGATTTATTTATATTTCGCCTCCTCTTTTACACTCAAACTCATTCATTCATTCACAGGTCTATGCAAATTTTATATCGGTGGCTTTTTTCTTTTTTTTTATTTGAGTGAAGCATGACAAGATTTTTAATCAAAATGATTTTTGCCAAACACATAAATGTGGCTATTGACACAGTTAAGGCGGCGAGCATAAAATTCGACGAGGAGAAAATGTAAAAAAGCAAAACAAAACCTAGCTAAAAATCCAGTATGGTTTGGAAAAGCAATAAATATTTTCAAACTATTGACAGCCAGTTAAATGGATAAAAATGACAAATTCCAAATTAATTTTCATTAATTTTTTACAACCAAAATGGCGAATCAAATTAAAAAGGAATTTTAATTGGAAGTGAAGAGCTAAATATATAAAACTTAGGTATATAAAATAATTTAATGTCTGTAATTACTGCATGATATATTGTTTGAATCGATTTCAACGTCAATAAAAATTACTATTAAAACAATTGATTATCGTGTCATTTGGTTGATAGGATCAGGGTTCCCTAACAATCTAAAAATAATTTTAAACAACTAATAAAAAATCGTATAACAAAGACCTGACCTTGTTTAAGTGTGCTGATTTAGGTGACTAACACTTTTGCTTTCACATCAATCAAAGTTGATTGACCCTCATCTGACCGCAAAATCTGATGGACGGCTCTGCTAATTGAACTTAAAAACTTCAAAGAAGAGAGGAGGACTTGTGCAAATGATTTTTGCAAATAACCGGAGATGCGTAAGTGTCAACGTGGCTCAAATATTTGACCAACGTGAGTAAATTGTAAAATGGATAATGGAAAATTTCCTGGCCTATTCAAGCGGATAAGCTGACCTAAACTAATTTGATTGACTATGAATTTAAATATTGTCCGGTCGTGTGAATGACACATGTAAGTGACGCAATGCCCTCAATTCAACGATTACTATTGATTAAATTAGTTTTTGTTACAATTAATTACTGAACCGCAAAAGCGTTTCAATTTGATTGCTGTGGCTTTTCACTTCAGTTTTTTTGATTCTAATTCTTTTATCTGCCTTTGTTTGGTTTCCATTGATTGGAAGTACTCCGTGTATGCTTATCTAATTCTACGAGTATATTGTGATTTTTTGCTAAGGTGCTTAATGCAAAGGCAACAGCCACAAAAATAATTGGCAAAGAGAATAAAATTCAAAATCAAAACAAACTGAAGTCTACTGGAGTTGGTCGAATGCTTTATGCTCTGCTTCTTAAGTTGTCAAATAATATACTATTATATTATAACTGACTTATTTGGCTTAATTCCTAAAATTATTATCGATTTGTCATGATAAAGAATTGGCGTATAATATAATAGCTAAGACCAAGACTTAGAGATTATGCTTTTAACTAAAATTTGTTCCTGTTTTGATTATTAAGGTGTGATCTGAAATTGATAGGAGCTACATGATTTAATTTTTCATAGCTGATGTACTTTTTAAGGCTAGATAAACTTATTGAGACCCACATCAATTTATTGGCCTGGCCGGCAACGGGTATGATTATTTATATTTTTAACTTTGTCCGTTTTCAATCTGTTTGTCTGATGTCATCGAAGACACTGACGACGGCATTGGAGATTAGTGATCGGCGCGGCGAAAATTTATGAATCTATTGTAATGCGCTAAATTTAACAAGTTGCAGGGGAGCAGTGAGAAAAGTTCTGGTCGGTGACTAATTGGACAAATGGCATTTACAGCTGCTGGTTCCTCCGGCTTTCCAGATCTGCAACTGCTGCCTGCCACATAAATCTGGCCGCGACGACAACATCCTGGGCTGGGGAGGCCAGGCCAGCGGAACTTCCTTTTGCGATTTGCTCATTAGAATTTATTGCCGCCGCTTGTCAAGATTTACGTATCCTTGCGGCTCCTCTGGTTCCTCTGGCTCCCGGCTCCCGACTGTAAGCAGCTAACATCCCGCCGACTGGATGACAGATGACAGGCAGGGAATGGGGCTGTTCGATGTGCTCCTTAGTGGCTTTTTTGCAAATTAGTCAAAGTCAGGCCCAAACAATGGCAGGCTTAGATAATTGCTGGCTAGCTCGCTTTCTGGCTTTCTGGCTTTCACAATGCACTCCGCGAAGTGGCCCCAACTGGAGTTCTTCCCTCCAACTTCCTATTAGTTGCCACAGATTGTGCGATAGCAATAAGTTAGCCCAGCCCCGGGCCAGCTCTTCCCCCAGTGCAGTGGATCGAGCCAGTGCCAGAGAATGGCCAAGCCCTCGTCAGATCCAGAGCCTTAGGCTCCGAGCTGCATCTGCCATTGTCTTTCGACTGGGATCTCCTGGAGGAGAAGGAAGGTTCATTGGCTTGCAATGCATCATTTGTTCAAATCGCTTGCCACACAATAAAATATTGTAATAGTGCCAGCCAAGAACATGCTAAACACTTCAGTTTTGCTTCCTGGAAACTTTTCCCTTTATTATTGACCAATTACCAGTTTTGCCGATTTCCCAAACTTTCCAGCTATTTGTTTTAGTTGTGGCTTTTCCAATTCAACGCTCACTCGCTGGCCGCAAATAAAACTTATTCCGTTTCAATTGACTTGGCAAAGGCAAACTCCTCTCGCCCTTCGACCAATGTCGGTTTTTTAGCATTGTGGCCAAAGTTTAGACTTTGGCTTTTAAGCAAAATTTTCTCAAATAAATCAATTGTGGATTCTGTTTACTTTTTGGTGTTTTTTTCCGGAGGCAATAATGGCTCATTCTTATTCCTGCCTGCGTTGAACGAGTTATTATTCTTTCAATCGTTTATTTTATAGGAAATGTGGAAGCGATGTAGAACACACATTTGTGTATAACACGCTATGCAAATTATTGCGTAGACCTCGCTTTATTTAAATTCGACTTTTTACCTCCATTTAACTCTAATAAAATATTGAATTTGCATACGAACAACTAAATTAATACAAACAGCTTAAATAATCAATAATTTAGAGCTGTAAAAAATTAATTTTAATAAGAATTGTTACTCATTGAGAAGCTCAAATATATGTATTTTTCTTAGTAACTGTTTAAACTAATCAGCAGTTGTATCAGTAGTTTGGCGATTGCAAAATAGTTGTCGTCATGGTATAAAAATAAATTTTTTTTTTCGCACAACCTTCAAAAACTATAGAGAATAAAAAGAATACTCAAATCCAAATCTTGATCGCGATAATGCTGCTATCCACCTTTTAATGTATATGCGCAGTAAAAGAGTTAATGCCTTTTCATATTTGTATGCGTATGGCTTGGTTAATTTTGCACAACAAAAGATTTTTTCGGCTGAAAGATTTTGCCAGTGATAAGCGGCCAAGAGATAAGCTAAGCCAGTTAAGACCGAAAAAGAAGGGGGAACCCATTTCTTTTAGTTGAGCGATTAATACAGAAAATAGAGTGGAAGATACATTGTCTTACAAGAAAAATTTAATGGTAA